CATGCTTTTGAAAGCTCCAACAAAATGCAAAACTAAAGTCAGCCTCCTGAAACTTTTTTCTTTCTTTCTTTTTTTAACCAGGGGTACAAACATTTAGTTAAGAACGTTATCTCAGAATGAATATCTTTCCCAGTGGTTTTTCAAGGATGAAACTGTTTTCTAAAGTGAAAAAAAAAAATAAATAATGCATTCATGTGGTCATTATAATTATGTCACACACAGAGGCACCACAAAGGCTACAGGAAGCGCCTGTTTATATTTGCAGCCAGCTGACTAGTTCATGCAAAACTCTGGAATCCACACTCTTTTCCTCCACTGCAGTGCTTTTTGTATTTGCATATTTAACAGTATTGCAATGAAGGACTTTTTGCACCAGTTATCTTCAACTGCTTTACATGCATCTGAAAGGCGGACAATGAATAAGGAAGATGAAAGAAGACTCAACACCTATAGATTGTGGTCTTGGTAAAGAATATTCCATGTAGTTTGATCCAGGCTCCTGCCTTCAATAAGGACATCTTGCTAGGAAAGGTGAAGTGTCCCTGAAAGAGATGAAGATACCAACCAGATGGATTGACACAGGGACTGCAGCAATGGGCTTAAGAATGTCAAAGATAGTGAGGATGGCACAGGATAGGACAGGGCTCAGATCTGTTGTTGACGGAGTTGCTGTGAATTGTACTCAACTGACACCTAAAAACAATCAAGGAGCAAATCAATCTGCCTTTGAAGGGCAGCCAGATGCTCCTTAGAGATAAGGATGGTGGCTCACATTCTTTAGGTATGTTATCAGGAGGGGCTGTGATAAAGCAAAGAATTCCTCACAGAAACTTTGGTCACATTATCAGGAAAGATCAGTTCCTGGAGAAACATGTCTTGCTTGGAAAAGTAGAATCCATAGAGAGGAGAAAAAACAAGACTCAATTACATTAATGATCACAGTGAGTGCAACCATAGGCTTGAGCGTAAGAGCAATCGTGAGGATGGGACAGGATGTAGCAGGGTTATGTTCTACTGGATATGGGGTCACTATGTGCTAGGAACCTGTGGTGGCCTAATGGTAAGGAACTGCACTGGCAACCCAAAGATACATAGTTCAAGTCCACCAGATGCTTCACGGGAGAAAGATGGACAATTTCTTCTGAAAACCCACTGGAGGGTCAGTTATGGGTTGGATCTGACTCAAGAGTAAACTACAACATTTATCAGAGGCAATTCACCAGCACCTAGCAACAACGTGGGGCAACAGATATGGGGTGAATGTTAGCTTGATCTTATTTTGAATACTCTATGTCAGAAATTCAATTATAGGGAAGACACGTGGTTAGAAAACAAGAACTTGTGGATATACTCAAAAGACAGAAATCAGAAACACTAATGGTGAAATTACCACAGGCCCCAGCATTAACAAAAAAAATCCAGAAAAAGTTGCCATCAGCTGGAGGTGACCCAGTATGTATCAAGAACCAACTGTCCTCTGCGGGGATTTCAGTGTGTGATCTTCCAGAAGTAAATTGCCAGAGATTTGAACAGCCAACCTTTCAGTTAGGAGACAAGTACATGTATCATTTCAACAATCAACGCCTTTGCTTAAAGCAAAGTTTGAGCTAAAGGATTTAACAAATGCATAGTATTCAGAAGATTCCTCCCTCCAATCGGGTTTAAGTCTAAATGAAAGTGAAATTTATAATTTGGCCTTTCAAGGGCAAATATGTCTCAAATTAGAGCTGATATTTTGCAGTGACATTGTTGTTAGGTGCCATCGAGTCGAGCATGACTCAGCAAACCTATGAAAAAAAGATCTGAATCCTGTTCTATCCTGCCCCATCCTGATACTTTATGGCACACAAGAGACATTGCAGCAGTCACCATGTCAATCCACCTGGTTAAGGGTCTTCTATCCTTCTCAGCATCATGCCCCTCTCCAAAGAATTGCACCTCCTAGCAACACATCCAAAGTATGTGAGGTGAAGCCTCATCATTCTTGCCTTCAAAGAGCACTCCGGCTGCACCCTTTCAAGACATATCTGTTCATTCTTTTGGCTATCCATTAGATTTTCTGTGCTCTTCTCTAACACCACAGCTCAAAGGCATCAATTCTTTTTCGGTCATCCTTTTTCATTGTCAACCTCTCAGATGCATAGCAAGGAATTGGAAAGACTACAGCCTGAATCAGACACACCTTAGTCTTCAAACTGACATCATTACTCCTCAATAATTTGGAGAGGTCCCTAACTGCAGATTTGCCCAGTGCTATGTGTCTCCATATTTCCTGACTGCTGGTACCAAGGGTGTTATTTGTGGATCCAAAAGAAAGATGAAGCTGTTGACAGTTTCAATCTCCTCTCCATTCCATCATGACGCTGCCTATTGGTCCAGTGGTGTGAATCCTTTTTTTCCCTGACATTGAAATGCGATCCATACCAATGGCAGCATTCCTTGATCATCTGCAACAAGTGCTTCAAGCCCTCCTCACTTTCAACAAGCAAGGGATGCCATCTGAATAATACAGGTCATTACTGATGAGTCTCCCTTCAATCCTGATGCCACACTCCCCCTCATAGAGTCCAGCTTCTTGGATAATTTGTTCAGTATACAGATTGATGTTACCAAGCCAAAGGGGGGTGACTCTAATCTGTGGCCCCCAGGCCTGCTTTTAATTGTTTTTGGTGAAACATTCTTCTAGATTGTATAACCATGATCTATCCACTTGTTGTACAGAGTTAACTTGTGGTTGCTGTGAAGCTGAACACTGTAACACTGATGTGTCAGATGTGAGAATGGTTACTCATAGTGGACAGTGTTTGGTGGAGCTTCCCAATTAAAACAATCTTGGAAGCAGGAGTGGCATTCACTTCTGAAATAGCTTGCCTCTGGAAACCCTATGTAACTGGAGAAAGGACAAAAGTTATATACGTGTCCAGGTCTTTCGTTCATAGGGTCGCTATGAGTTGCCTACGACTCTACGACAACATACAGATTGAATGGGTATGGAGAGAGAGACTATAACTCTGGTGCACTCCCTTCCCAACTCCAAACCATACAGTGCTCCCCTGCTCTGTTCACAGAACAGCCTACTGGTCCAGCTCTAGTTCTGCATGAGCACAATCAAGTGCTCTGGGATTCCCATTTTTCCCAGTGTCAGCCACAACTTGTCATGATCCACACAGTCAAATGCCTTTGCACAGTCAGTAAAGCACAAATATGCATTCTTTTGGTGTTCCTTACTTTCAGCCAGGATGCATTTGGCACCAGCAATGATACCCCTGATGTCACGGTCTCTTCTAAATCCTGTTTGAACTTCTGGCAGTTCCTTATCTATGTACTGCTCCAGCTGTTTCTGAGCAATCTTCAGCAGTGTTTTGCTTGCATGTGATATCAATTATATTGTTCAATAATTTCCACATTTAGTTGGATCACCTTTCTTGGGAATGGGAACAAATATAGACCTCTTTGATCCATTAGCCAGCTAGCCATCCTCCAGATTTCCTGGCATAGACTTGTGAGTGCATTGAAGGCTGCATGTGTTAATTGACCCAAAAAAATTGACACAAAAGAAGATGTTTCAATTTAGAGCTGGTATTTTGCAGTGACATTATATATACCAAAATTTCATGGTTTTGTTCCTGGTACAGTTAAGGGAAACTTATGCCTGAAGAAGTTCTTTATCTCACTGAGTTTGCCTAGAGCTACAGGATCCTCATCTATTTTGCCTGGTTAAATGTGAGGCCATGCTCTTTAAATCATCATTAAGCAGTGCCTGCCTTGTGGCATTTAACAATGGAATTGATGAGCCAAATTGAAAAAGAAACAATTTGACAATATAAACTCACCCACTATTTAAATAAATTTGTTCATTAACTCTTGTAGGTCACCAAGTTAAAAAGCTAATGAGTTAGGGAGCTCTGGTAGCCTAGTGGCAAGAAGCTGTACTATAATCCCAGAGGTACGTGGTTCAAATCCACCAGATGCTCTGCTGGAAGAGGCACAGTTCCCTCCTGTACCAGTCAGATCTGATTTGACAGTACACACACAAAAGATAATAAAAATTTAAAAAAAAATTTTTTAAAGCTAGTGACTTGCTGTTGAAATTAATGGTAAACAATTATTTTGAATGTTACTGAAGCTTATGTGTGCACCAAGAGGAAGATGGGCAATTTATCAGCCTCTTGCAACCCCCTGGACGTCAGCTATGAGTTGCTTCTGACTTGAAGGCACATAACAACAACAATTTGTAATTGTAAAATGCCCTGGGCGGTGCAATTGTGAAGTGTTCAACTGCTAGTTGAAAGGTCAATGTTTCAAACATACAGGTCACTTTGTAGGACAAAAAGGTGGCAATCTGCTTCCATAAAGATTCCACAACAAAAAAGATTATGACAACAATAAAGATTGCAAAAAAAAAAGAAAATACATACATACATACATACATACATACATGACAGCCTTGGAAACCCTAGGGGTTTCCTACTCCATTTTTCAGGGTCACACAGAGTCAGAAGCTATTCAACAGCAATGGGTTTCATAATGATAGAGTTTCTGGGTGTTAACATGCTCATTGCTACCCAAAAGATGAGAGTTTGAAGTTCACCTGGAAATATCTCAGAACAGATGAGGGAAAGAATAGTTTAAAAGCGATGTATGATAGGGTATTATGTTTATCACATGAGTCCACAATTAAGGTTGCATAGTGGAGTGTACTTGGGGCAGTGGGAAGGGTGTGGGAGGATTGTATATCAAAGAAAGAATTTTTCTTTTACTTTTCAAAGAGAGGAGCGAACTGGGGCGGGGGGGGGGGGGG